CTCTGCTCTTTATATTTATAGATGAATGACTCTAAGGTGCATTCAAAAGAGACAATTATTCGACTTGCAGTGGTTTTCAGATATTATTTTTCTCTTTAAACAATAATTACCTTATTATTCAGAAGTTTGGTTTCATGTTTAATTTTAAAAACTCTGGGTGCAGTTAAGCCAATTTTCTCTTCTTGGTTTCTTAATAGTTATAAATGAATATTAAGACTGTTTATGTGTACACAAAGATAATAAAAGCTGACTGAGTTAGCATCTCATGAAAGGCAGAAAACCAGAAGTTTTGGTTTGCCGTATCCACAGTGTTCCCATCCATATTGGCCATAAACAGGGCTTTAGATAGGTAGGTAGATGGATGGACAGACTTATCCAGATATCCAGCCAGCCATCCGTTCAGGGTCTTCTATATTCTATGCCCTGCGTGTCTACTTTTCTTCACTTTCTGCTATAGATTACTGAGATTAATCTAGTGACAAACCTTAAGTGATGATGTACTTTGAATGTCATGCTTCAGATTAAATAAACTCTGCTAGTTTCCCTGCTCACTATATTTTTCTGCTCTAGTTTGTCTCCAGTGAGATTCTTTTGTGCTGTGTTTAATCTTTTTTGCACTATCCAGTGTCTTTGGTTGAATGAAGTGAGTATTCCTTTTCACTCATAATAATTATAATAAATGATGATTCTCTAATGCTTATTGGTTATAACATTTTAATTTATACTTTTAAGTAGGGCCCAGTGGAATGAGACATGAGAGATCAACTTTCTTCCTTTTCTTTTGTCTCTTCACTCCTTTTTCCTGCTCCCTAATTAATATAAATCGCTTTCTTCATTTTTGTCCCTTACTCCTCCGACGTCAGAAGTGAGAGCCAGTGGTGGTGTGGTACGGAATTGATAAATGTGGCCAGCACTGAGGGAGAACCATTCTTAGTCACTTTTTTTCTTACAAAAATACAAAATGTATGTCTTAAATTGAGAATTAAGATCACTTCACAAAACTGTGTTAAAGAAAACTTGTATGTAAAAAGTGTATCTGCAAATATTTTATGCTGCAGGGATTGTAGCAAAATTAATACATTTTCAAGCGTATTTTATATTTCCACAAATTTAGTTCCTTTGTTTTTTTTAGCTTTGCTCTATAGACTCAATTAGACTCAATGGTCTATTTCTTGAATGTATGATGGTTTTTCTGAGAAAAGGAAAAAGCCTTAATTAGCAATTGGCAAATTACCTGGAATCTCTGGAAGTATTAATAGTTTGGGCAATTGTTATTTTCAGTCCACCACAATAAAACTTTCTGTTGTTGTATTTAATGTTATATATTTCATAAATGTTTAAGAATTTGCTAAAACACCTACACAGAAAAAACATATTAAATTTTGCAAGACTCCAAATATTAGCATAAGTGTACTATCTCTCTGAGACCTAAATAAATAAATCTATTAAGATTTACTACATTTATTTTTTTGTGAAAATAATTACTTTTTAAATTACTTTATGGGATTTTCTTCTTAGTTTAAATGCTCGAAAGTAGGATGATGTTCAATAGTTTATGATCATCAAAACCAGGAGGAATCATCTTTTAATATAATTGTTTAAATTTTCCTGATGCATGAAGACTACATTCAGAATAAAATACCAGTTTCTTATTATAATTGGTCTAAATTCTGGAGTAGATTCAATGGCAATAGTAGAATTAGTTGCAATAGTCAAATAGTAGAATTTCAGAGTTTTACATTGTTAGTACATTGTTTTCCTCATTATATTTATAGTCTATTGATTTCACACCCCTTTCAGTAATGTACTACAAGGATTAAATCATTTGCATGGCCTGAACATGTTTTTTGCTCCATGTTTCTGCTCCAAAGAAAAGAACCTATTTTCAGTGGTATGTGGTTTTTTGAGTTTTTTTTCCTTTCTTTTAAAATAGGCCTTTAGTGAGTTTGAGATTGAGCAGCATCAAGAATGTGCTTATGATCACTTGGAAGTATTTGATGGAGAAACGGAAAAATCACCAATTCTTGGACGATTATGTGGCAACAAGATACCAGAGCCCCTTGTGGCTACTGGAAATAAAATGTTTGTTCGGTTTGTTTCTGATGCATCTGTTCAAAGAAAAGGCTTTCAAGCCACACATTCTACAGGTCAGTAAATCAGGGGTGCTGCTCTTTTCTAAGAAGAGCCAGCCTTCTCTTCTGGTGCGTGCAGGGGATCCTATAACAGGATTATAAATGAATCAGAAGAAATCTCACTGAAGCACGGTGTGAAATATTTGAGAATCACATAGCATCCTACCTAAATATCTTTGTAGTTGCTGAACATTTAGAAAAAAATGCAATAGTTTGATCTGATTCACGTTCACTGTGGTATGATCAAGCAGAACTACCTCTAAATATTTGTATAATGTACTCCATGTTAACTTTAGTGGTTTGATTTATAGGTTATTTTTAGCAGATAGAAATCCGTAGCTTAGTCTTCAAAATTTTGTTTGTAATCTGACCTGTTTAGCTAAATTTTGCATTAATATATTTTTGTAAATCAAATTTGGGATTTATCTCTCTGTTTTACAGAGCTTCATTGTTTTTCCTTTTATTTAATATGCAACACAATATTTTCCCTAATCCTAATCCCTAATTTGATGCTTATAGATTCCAGCTGTAATGGAAGTCTTTAAGAAATAAAATATAATTTAGAAAAATATAGAAAATTTTAGACAAAAGTGTATACTAATATTTTAATAATTTGAAGCCAATCTAATAATATATTCCATAAATGTCTAGTAAATGCCCTTTTTTTTTCTTTTAGTTAAAAAAGAAATCAGTTAATTGTAGGTATTTACTGAAATCATTTATCTTATAGTGACACCTAGTGGCATTTCCAGTGCATAAACTACTGAGACACCAGGAGAAATCTATCTTGTAAAACAAAGCATGGTAGTCTACAAATTCATCCACGGAGAAATTTTGGTGTAGTCATTTTTGTCATGGTTTTCTGATTATTGTTTTTTCTTTGACTTTCGTTTTGTTTTAGAAATCAGAACTTTAATTTATGCCATAGTCCAGTATCATTTGCCACTCTAGTATATTTTATTATGAGCATTAGATTTATATTGAAGTCTATTTGTAAGAAAGTAGATATTGTCCGGATATTGGTCTGATTCATGCTAGTATTAACTGGACTCCCCAATAACACAAAAATAATTACTTCTCATGATTAATATAATTATTTTGATTTGAGAAAAATCTTTCTTGGATTAAAAAAATGTTATACTGTTGAAAGATTTTTTCATACGTTTAATATTTACTCTTGAAATTTTTTTTTTGATAATGTGTCATGCGTTGAAAGAATGGAAAAATTGGAATCCCATTAGTTCATCAATATTTTTCTGACAGCACAGAGTTAATGGCATAATTTTTAAAATAATCCTGGCTGTCACAGATTCCAAGAATGGAGTGTGAAAATAGGCTATCAGAACTCTAGAAAGCTGACAGTGAAAGCTGATAGAGTATTTTTAAATTACTTACCCATAAATTCTTCTTAGTTTAATAAAAACTTACTTTTACAGTTTCTCTTTTTATCTTTACCTTTACCTTAAATCTCAAGCTATGTATTTCCTTACAGCTATGAAACTGTTATCTTACCTTACAACTATAAAACTCCATGACTCTTTAATTTGCACAGCCTCTGCTCTGGACCCTATTTACAGTGTCCAATCCAATCCAATGATATATATTGACATTTCAGGCACATATACATTTACTTACTATAAACTACACATACTGAGTCCTCGAAAGAGCCATATGATGTAGGAACTATCTTCATCTTCAGAGTAAAGAAATTAAAAATCTGAAGGCTTAATTCATTTGCAAAGATTTCTAAAATTATATCAACGCTTGAATTTTATCCTAATTCTGACTGTCTCCAGAGTTCGTGTACTTTCCACTATGGTATATTTTCTCTTAACATAAACTTTAGATTAGAAAGAAAACAATACAAAACTGGATCTCTGTTATTTGAGCAACATGTAGAGCCTGAATACCTCCTTATGTAAGTTTCAAACAAATCCCTTTGTTCAAAGTACCCAACTGACTAGGCTCATTTTATTTATTTGTTCAGTTTACATTCATTCAAATCCCCATGTGAGCAGCCTCAGTCACATTCTGTAGGCAGAATATGCCTTGGATGTTGTTTGATCCCATTCTGTCATCTCAGAAATGAAGATTTTGAGACTAAACTTAAATAACAACCAAAATAGTGCAAAAAAAAAATAACAGTTGGAGTTAGAGTGCTGACCTCCCAACTCCTGTCCACTTGCTCTTGTCAAAATTTTTGGCATTATCTGTTTGCTTGTTTGTTTTCTTCATGTGTAAATTTTTGCCGTCACTTAACCAGCTGTCTTTGAATTTTCTGGGCAGATTCATTTTATACTGTTATTTTTGAGTAGACATACATGCTGAAATATTCTTTCGTACTGCCTACTATTTATTTCTTTTGAAAGCTTTCTTTTTAGCAGCTTATTTATTCCACAGTTTTTCATCAAATATTTACTTGGTACCTGTTTTGAATAGGCACTATGAAGTATGTGTAATTCATAGGAAAAAATTAGACATTTTGTGGGAATTTATTTAAAAAAATGGAAGGAATTCCTTCCTGTTGACATCTTATAGTCTGATAAGTAAACTTCTGATTTTCAGAAGTTTCTGAACTTCTGATTTATTAGTCAGTTTCTACCAACAAGACAGCCAAGTCCAGTACCACGTTTGTCAATTTCCACTACACATATAAAGCATTTATTCAGTATTTACTGCCTTCTAGAATACATGTAACTATTATTGATGGGCCCTGCAATATACATTGAGTAAATTTATATTTCTGCATATAATTTAAATTTTACCCACCAGAAAATCCTCTAATACTATGAATTTTGAAACTAGGTGAATAGAAATATTAACAGTGCTTTATGACAATTTTTCACAAGTAATACTATCCAAATCCATGGAAAATAGACTTTATTGGAAAGAGTCCTTTTTTCCTCTAAAAGTAGGTCCAAATTCTAAGCCAAATTTATTTTAATCAAGTAACAAAAAAAACACCCCAGCTCTTTCAATAAAAATATAGCATATTCTCTCAGAGGATATGGTGCTAAAACAGAAAAAGAAGGGAAATGTGGAGAGAAAATAATTTAAAATATGCCATATATGGTGGGATTTTTTTCTGTAGCATAAAGTATCATCCTATTTGTCAATGACATTTAAAAATCAAATATTATATTAATAAGTTCCAAAAAAAGAAACTATTTTGATGTAACTTAAATTATAATGCCTAAACTCATTTGGCACTCTCAGGGATTTAACATTTTACCAGGAAATTTAATTTCCAAATTAAAATGAAGGCTACTCTTTCTGAAACATTTTCAGTCATTCTTAATTGTAGTTTGTCATTTATTTTGAGTATTGTCATTTTCTAGAAGTTTTCAGTAAAATCAAATAATGATGCCTCACTGTCATTTTCAGATTCGCATAGGCTTTGTGAAATCTCCTTTCTCATTTTGTTCAAATACTTCATTTCCTTCTTGATTTCTGCTCTTAGCTGAGGCCAACAGAGAATCGTCTCTTCTGGATCTTGGTCTTTGTTTTGCTGCTTTGTTTGAAGCAGGCACACAGAAACAGTGCCTGTCCTATCTCACAGTCCACCCCTTCCTGGGTTGTGAAATAAAAGTAACAAGAGTACTGACTTTTTTTTTAACTTGGAAATAAAAAAAATCACTCAATTCTATCAAACTTTGAGAATAAATAGGGTTTTTTTTAGTATCTGTAAATGAGATTACACTGGTTTATACATTCACATGTTGACTTCAGAAATATTTTCCCAAAATATTTTACTAGCCTTCCAAAATATAATCCCTCCTTTCTGAAAAACAGATTAATAGTGCTTGAAATTGTTTTTCAATTTTTCTGGCTTTTCTTTTCATACCTGAGTGGATGCCTAAAAGTGTAGATGATGGCATTTAAATGTCCTCACTAGAAAAAAATATCAATGATGGTGGTAGTGTACATTTAGATGGCTTTTCCTGTGGG